TTTCTTTCTTTCTTTCTTTCTTTCTTTCTTTCTTTCTTTCTTTCTTTCTTTCTTTCTTTCTTTCTTTCTTTCTTTCTTTCTTTCTTTCTTTCTTTCTTTCTTTCTTTCTTTCTTTCTTTCTTTCTTTCTTCATCTTAGTTCCCCCCACCCCATTGGTACTATTTTAATCTTCAGATGGGTATAAGTGGACTTGCCAGCTGTCACTCTCAGCTGGCCATGCCCAATGGGTGCATCATCTCAGAACCCAAAATCCAGCGGCCAATGTAGTAGAGAAGGCGGGAGTACCAGTGGACTCCAGCCAATGAGGCACCCTCTTCGGGTACAGCAGCTGGAAAAAGGAGAGGGGAGGAGAGGCCCTCAAGATTCAGCACTGCCAAGGCTGCGTGGGCAATGCGGAAAGGTGCAAACGCCCAGTGAGCCCAGCTGTGCTCCTCAATGACAGCATAACAGGAAGCCAGCACCTGGTTGATGAGAATGGTGCCCTGAGCGGTGAGTGGGGCATAAGCCCCCGAGGCCTCCTCCTTCAGGGACACGCTATGCACTGCCGCTGGTAACAGCGTCTGACCCCCTTGGGCCAGCACGTAGACATGTTGTCCAGGTTGTACACGGCTGGCAAAGATAGGCTGGGGTTGGGAATGGGAATGATTGTGTGGTGGGGCCACAAATAGCAGGTGGGCAGCGGTGAGCAAGAGACGGGCCTGGGGTGTTTGCGTCTCAATCACGTAGAAGAGTTTGTGGACAGGAGGTTCCTCTCGGTCCAGGAAGGCTAGGAATTCGCTGTAGAACAGCTGCCCATGCACATCTGCTGCCAGCACTCGGTCCCCTGGATGAAGGTCTTTCACCAGCTTTGTGCCTCCACCTTCCAGGTTCACCCAGGCGGATCCAGGGAAGCAGCCACCCGATTTGGCAGCCACCGAGTTTTCTGAGAGAGGGAGACAGAAATCAGCATTAGAGAAAGGCCAGAAAAGGGAATAAAGAAAATCCTAATGCCTGGGCAATCATCCGTGTTCCAACAGCACAAGCAAAGAATGTGAAATCATGGTGGGGATACCATATAACACAACAATAGAATTGGAAGGGACCTTGGAGGTCTTTTAGTCCAACCCCCTGCTTAGGCAGAATACCCTATATTATTTCAGACACACAGTTGTCCAAATTCTTCTTAAAAACTTCCAGTGTTGGAGCACACACAACTTCTGGAGGCAAATTATTCCAACTGTCAGGCACTTTCTCCTTAGTTCTAAGTTGCTTCTCTCCCTGATTAGTTTCCACCCATGGCTTCTTGTCCTGCCCTCAGGGGCTTTGGAGAATAACTTGAGTCCCTCTTCTTTGTGGAAGCCCCTGAGATATTGGAAGACTGCTATCATGTCTCCCCTAGTCCTTTTCATTAAACTAGATATACCCAATTCCAGCAACAGTTCATTATATATGTTTTAGCCTCCAGTCCCCTAATCATCTTTGTTGTTCTTTTCTGAACTCTTTCTAGAGTCTCAACATATTTTTTACATTGTGATGACCAAATACTTAATGCAGTATTTCAAGTGTGGTCTTACTAAGGCATTATCAAGCGCTAATAGCACTTCACTATCATCTATCTATCTATCTATCTATCTATCTATCTATCTATCTATCTACCTACCTACCTACCTACCTACCTACATCTATCTATCTATCTATCTATCTATCTATCTATCTATCTATCATCTATCTATCTATCTATCTATCTATCTATCTATCTATCTATCTATCTATCTATCTATCATCTATCTATCTATATCTATCTATCTAATCTATCTACAGTAACTATCTAACTAATCCATTTTAGGAGTAAATGGAATAAATAAAGCAAATTGAGGCAACAACAGAAGATACTTTAGGACAGGGGTCTCCAACCCTGGCAACCTTAAGACTTGTGGACTTCAACTCCCAGAGTTCCTAAGCTGGAAGTCCACAAATCTTAAAATTGCCAAGGTTGGAGACTCCTGCTTTAGGATATCCTGAGACAAAATGCTGCAACACTGTGTTTTTCATGCTGGCTGGGGAATTCTGGGAACTGAAGTCCAAACAACTGAACCTTGCCGGAGTTTAGAAATATTGCTGTAACAGATCATTGAATCCTGATGGCACCCATCCAAGAATTTAAACACCCTCAAAAGAGGAATTGCTCTAATTTGTCAGTCAAACGAGGCTCAGCGCCAGAGAATTTGAAGGTTGCCAGTATGATTTAAAAAGGGACCCAGAGGAGATCCAGGAAATTATAGGGAAGCTCTCCCTCCTGCCAAAATGATGAAAAACAAACAAACAAACAAAAAAGAATATACACATACATACAGAAGAGCAAGCTGGCTAGGAAGAAATCAGCATGGGATTCACCAAGATAACTCCTATCCAGCCAACCCACTGGAAATTTTGGAGAATGCCAGCTGGTCCATGGATGGAAGTGATCTTGCTAACATTGGATGCTTAGGTTTTCAAAAACCCTTCAGGAAAAATGTGTTCATCAAAAGCTCCTAAGGAAGCTCGTCAGTTGTGGGGTATCAGGATTTGGCCTTTCTATGTATTGCTAATTGGGTTACAGACAGAAAGCTATGAGTAAAAGCAAATGGCCTTTTTTTAATAGACAGAAGTGAAGACCCTCAAGGATAAGTGTTAGAATTGAAATTATTCAAAAATGCAAGAAGTGAGCTGGACAAGGCAATAGATGATACTGAAGTATTCAAGGTGGTAAAAGGAAGATCTCTCTGATGTTCAACCAAATGGCAAAGAAGGTTCAGTTTAAATATAAAATGATGCACATTGAGGTAACTTTCTCCTTGGAGTTAAATGTCCATGGAGATCCTCAGCCATCCAGGTCATGGTTGTACCAAAGGTGCTTTTTTCAAGAGGCAACTGGACTTCCTTTGTTTTTCTTTGAAGATGTTTCACTTCTCATCCAAGAAGCTTCTTCAACAGAAAAAAAACAGGAGGTCCAGTTGCCTCTTGTAAAAGCATCTTTGGGACCCTGGGGGGTAACTTTCCCTAACTGTATTTTGAGCTCTGAGATATCTGAAACTATCCAAGGAAAAAGACCTTGGATCACAGTAGCTCAAGATAACAACTCAAATGCAGCAGTATCTCTGCATCTGCCCTATGAGTACAGTTCTAATAGCTGCACTTGAAAAAAAAAAATCAACTTACGACCACAATTGGGATCAGAATTTTTATTCCTAAAAAGTTGGTTGCTAAGTGAGTTTCATTTGATTTTACAACCTTTTTTTTTGTCATGCTTGTTAAGGGAACCAGGGTGGTTGTTAAGGGAATCATACAGAGGTGGTATTCAGCCAGTTCTGACCAGTTGTGGAGAACCGATAACGGAAATTTTGAGTAGTTCGGAGAACCGGCAAATACCACCTCTGACTGGCCCCGCTCCCATCTATTCTCTGCCTCCCGAGTCCCAGCTCACTGGCTGGGTCTTCTTTTGTTGCCCTGCACAGGAGAATGGAGCTGGAAAGCAGGTTAGTGGGGTGGGGAGGGAATGGGGATTTTGCAGTATATCCTTCCCCTGCCACGGCCACCAAGCAATGCCACTCTCACCAAGCCACGCCCACAGAACTGGTAGTAACATTTTTTGAATCCCACCACTGGAATCATATCATTATTAAGCAAATCTGTACTCTCCCACAGACTTCGCTGGTCAAAATCCAGTTGGGAAGCTTGCAAATGGTGATCGCATGATCCCAGCACAGCAACCATTGTAAAATACATGCCAATTGCCAAGTGCCTGGATTTTTGTCACATGACTGTAGCAATGCTTGCAAATGCGAAGTAGCAAGTCGCTGTTTTCAATGCAGTTATAACTTGGAATGGTTGCTAAATGAATGCTGTAATTTGAGAACTATTTGTATAGTAGTGGTATAAAAAAAAGCACACAAAAAGTATCCAAGGTTAAAATGTTGGAGATTCCTTGGTCTAGGAGGTCATGATGAAAGAGAATAAAACCATATTTAGCCTGGTGATAGTTGACTAGAAGTAAATATCTATCACTCAAAATGCTAAGGGAGGCAAGACCTTCCAATGAATCTAATCTAATGAAATCTGATTGGATGTCTAACAAAGAGATTTAAAACAGACCAGAAAGAACAACTTTTTCCAACAGCAGATAATTAACCTGTGAAATTCACCATCACAAGATATAGAAATGGCTGCTATGGACAACTTTAAAAAGAAAATGAATAAAAAGGTAAAGGTTAAGGTTCCCCTCAAACATATGTGCTAGTCTAGTCATTTCCGGCTCTAGGGGGGGGGGCGTGCTCATCTCCGTTACAAAGCCGAAGAGCCAGCGCTGTCCGAAGACGTCTCCGTGGTCATGTGACCGGCATGACTAAATGC